TGAAAAAATTTCATAAAATTAGTCAGCTAATTATGCCTAAGAAGCAGACACTGTCTCTTCACCCACTTGGCATACTACTCTAACCTCCAAACTTCTGCTATTTTTCAAAACTAGTAAACTATATATAGTGACAAATTAAATATTTAGAGATAACGAATCAGTAGTATGAGAACTGCATCCTTCAACATCCCAAGGGCCAATAAGAAACCAAAGTTGAAAGATATGGTTGGAAAAACTGATTGACTAACAGTACCTGATTGCAGAAAAAGAACAGATGGTCGATGGACAATAAAGATTGTAAGTAAATATACATTTCTGCATCACATAGAAGACGTGTGTTGAAATGATAAGAAGTAGATAGGAGAGCTAATTAATCACTGTCATCAGCAAAATAACACATGGAGAGGCACCAAATGTTACAGGTGAGCCAAAAGTGCACAAATTCATTTCTCCAGCAACTGGATAACAATCGAACATGTCAGATTTTTGACACAGTTGTTTCCAATAATGATTAAACGCTATAGGCTACATTAAAGTTATTAAACATGCATACCTTTCACATATTAATTTAATCTGGGATAGTAAGCATACTTTCTGTAAATCAAAGCTGTCTAATTAAATCTAACTTAACACTTAATTCTGATTGGAAGAAATATATACCATATTGTTGTTATTGTTAGTTGCCGTTGAGTCAATTCTGACTCATGGTGACCCCATGTGTACTGAGTAGAATGACTCCATAGGGTTTTCAAGGCCGTGACCTTTCACCAGGCCTGTCTTCCAAGGCGCCTCTGGGTACATCCAAACCACCAACTTTCTGGCTAGTAGTTGAGTGCTTAACCATTTGTGCTACTCAGGGACTCCCCAGAATATATGCTATATATAAAATCAATATACTAATTATAGCAGGAGCCCCGGTGGCTCAGTGGCTAAGAGCTTGACTGCTAATCAAAAGGCTAGCAGTTCGAATCCACCAGCTGCTCCTTGGAAACCCTATGGGGAAGTTCTACCCTGTCCCGTAGGGTCGCTATGAGTCGAATCAACTTGATGGCAACGGGTTTGGTTTGTGTTTTTTTTAGTTAAGCTCACAGACTCCAGTACCAAACTGTCTGCCTTTGAATCTTAGCTCTACTACTTATTAGCTGTGTAACCTTGGACAAATTACTTGACTTTTCTGTGCCTCAGTTTCCTCATTTGTTGAATAGAGGATATGAATAAGACCTGACTCAGAGTTTGTTATGGGGATTAAACTGGTTAATATTCATAAAGAACTCAGAAGAGTACCTAACACATCTTGAGTATTTTATGTGTTTGCTAAATAACTGAATAAAACAATTTTTATACTGTTTGATTTTCTGGTGTGTAGTGGAAGAAATATCAGAACCTATGGGGGTATGAGAGTGCGTATAGGTTGGAAAAACTCCACAGGTTATTCTAATAGTTCTTGTCTCCTTTCCCTTCTATCTCCTACCGGGTAAACTAGATGTTAGTTTCTTTCTACTTTGCTGGGGGGGGATGAAGCAATTTATTTGATTGGAAACAAAGAGGTTTTTTTTGTTTTTTTTAAATGATTCTCCTCTCTACCACTTCCAGGAGAATAGCCCTTTTCTTTATAAAATTAAGGGTGATTAGAAGCTCTCAGTCATCCTTCCCGCAGATAACAAGCCCCATCAGATCATGCAATCATTTTTATTTCAGCCTTCACTTAGTCAAAGCTTAGTAGTTGTTGACTCATGAATTTCCTTCAAAGAAATCAATCATATGAATTATTGTTTTCATCTCAGGGAAGGTAATCCTTAAATTCCAATTATTATAAACTTCTACTCCTAACTTAGGACCTTAAACCTTCCTTAGCACGATTATAACTACTGGTTATTTAAAGAGACTTAAGCACTGAAACTGAGTTGACTTTTGGACCATGGAAGAAAAGATGAAGATTAGAAATCCAAGGGCAGGAGAAAAAAGATGCCCAGAAACTCTATTAAGTTTTTTAAAGAAATGTTCAACAATGGATTTACTACATGTCACAAAGAACAAAAAATACCAGGATCTGTTAACAATCTTGAATCTGTTACTAGAAGGTTGGCAATGACTCAAAGTTACTTTGGACTTCCCTAGAGCAAGTTTCAAGGGTTATTTTGGGGGGTAAAAACAAATATTTTAGGTACTTGTAAAGTTACATTTCCCAAAGCAACCACATTCAACAGCCCTCTAGCTCTGGGTGTGGCACGACCTCTATCTGCTAAAACCTGTTGGCCTTGAGTTGATTCACGACCCTACAGGACAAAGTAGAACTGCCCCATAGGGTTCTGAGGCTATAATCTTTACGGAAGCAGACTACACATCTTCCCACAGAGCAGCTAGTGGGTTCGAACAACTGACCTTTTGGTTAGCAGCCGAGTGTTTAACCATTGTGCCACTGGAGCTGCTCTCTACCTGCCAGGGGCTTATAACTCCATATTGGAAAAGGTTGCATGCACATGCTTCTGCACATCTGCTTCTAATAATTCACTATATTAACAGTAAATCTTGTATCCTAATTTCCTAGGCCACGTTAGATATAAATGCTGCCAAGGACTATGCGCAGGCACAAGACCAGGCAAAGTTTGTTCTGTTACACATAAGGTTGCCATGAGTTGGAGCTGACACTAGGGCAACTAACAACAACATCCTTTAGAAAACGATCAGAAATTAAAATCTCTCCTTTTGAAATATGTATTTCAAACTTTTTTTAAAATGATACCATGTAAGGATCACAACTTGAAATACCTTGTAATAGTTATCAATAAGAAACAATAATGATTTGTTATTATTTTAAGTTTTTTTTTTAAATTGTGATTTAGGTGAAAGTTTACAGAGCAAATTAGTTTCTCATTAAACAGTTAATACACAAATTGTTTTGTGACATTGGTTGCCAACTCCACAATGTATCAACACTCTCCCCTTCTCCACCCTAAATTCCGTTTCCATTCATCCAGTTTTCCTGTCCCTTCCTTCAATTTTGGGCTGGTGTGCCCATTAGTCTCATATACATGATTGAAATACGAAGCATGTCCCTCGAGTGATTTGTTATTTTGGTTATGGAAAGTGGCAGTATGGATAATTTAAAAAGGCCAATCTTACACGCTACTCCTTCCAATCTAGCAGTGAGTTTCCACCACTGGCTTAGGATACTGTTGTTGTTACTGTTAGTTGCCATCGAGTCGATTCCAACTCATGGCAACCCTATGCGTGCAGAGTAGAACTGTGCTCCATAGGGTTTTCAAGGCTGTAAGCTTTTGGAAGCAGACTGCCAGGCCTGTCCTGCAAGGCACCTCTGGGAGGATTCAAACCACCAACCTTTCAGCTAGTAGTTGAGCGCTTAACCATTTGCCTCACCCAGGAAGCTTGAAGAATCAATTTCCTTTAGGATAGGGGTCCCCACACTTGGGGTAGCTGTCACCATGTAAATGGTGCTATCTTTGGGTGGCTTAGAACCAACGGTTAGGCTGAGAGTATAGGGGAAAACATCACCACACAAAATTCATTGACTAGAGCTTTCTAGAACAATCACCCAATGGTAACATTATGTTGAGTTCTATTGCCTCAAAATGCAAACAAAATTTAAAATACTTACTAAACACACATTTTACACCTTACTGGTCAAGCAACAGTTTTTAAAAACTTGATAATTCCTTCCACATAGATCAAATATATTTATAGATTTATATAGAAAATTATTTATCATCTTTATCTAGTTATACTAGAATGGTACTTGCAATCTAGGATTATATCTTATGTCTTCTTTACTACTCTCTTTCTGTATGACAGGGCTTTATCTGGTGGGCACTCCACTATTTTATTCATAGACTTTAAAAATGGTAACAGTGATTTATAAATAAGGAAACTACTCAAAGAATCACATTTTCTTTCAGATTAGAAAAATAATATCAGCTGTATCACACACATTGCCCTTCCTTTTGAAAGTTGAAAACAAGTATCATTCTTGTTAAAAACAAGTACCATTCAACAGTGGCTGCATCTAAAAATTACTAAAATCAGAAGCTGATGTAGACACCTTTGGGTAAGTAGTCCAAACCTAATTTTATTCTATTCTCTAAGATGATAAGGAATTATTAAAACAAATGAGTACCTTAGTAAAACATAAACATATTGAATATAGAGGATGAGATAGCCACATGTAACTGCTTATAATGCTAAAATGAGAAGTAGCTACAATAATAATATAATTTAAAAATAATGAAATAAGGACTGAAGTAAACTTGCCCTCAGAGAAAAAATATCAACAACTTGAATACTCTAATTATATAACCAGATGGATGCACCATGTACAGTTTAGAAAATGGGTAAGGAATCAAGGCCTACTGTTGGGTAAACACTATAATGTTTATTCCATCTTTGTAATCACATCAAGTTAACTGAATGAAACAGAATCTGAAATACACAGCAAATTGAAATTTACAGGTAGAGCCAAAAAAACTGTGTAAAGAATGAATCGGAAGCAAGGGCAAAGGAAAAAATGATAGAACAAAGGGTGGTCACTTTAGATGTTTTATTTTGAAGAGTCCTTCCCTTCTTTTTTTTAACAGCTGACGCTTTGTTTAAAGATATTTTCCTGTCACAAATGACCTTTAAAAGTTAGATAATCTATTTCTTCTAATTAGTTTAGGAATTTTTTCCACTGTGGCTACAAGGACAGATCCAGGTTTTATATTAACTGAAACTTTTCTTTTTGGTTTTTTGCAGAGAGGGGGGCCTACTTAAGAAAAGGAACACAAAATTACAAATAAAAAGTTAGGTATAGGGCCTTGGAAGGGGCTTGTACAAGTGTGGAATTCTGAAGCTTAGCTTTATTACCAGCCTCTGTAAGGCAACATGTTTCTGAAGGAATTGGCTCTGGAGAGAAGTTTTGTTTGGTCTGGCTTGTAAAGGTGAGATATTAAAACAATAGCAGAGTCAAATCAATGGGATAATGGGTGGTTACAGAGGATGTGTCTTACCATACAAGTATCCAGGTCTTCCAAACGTTCTATCTCTGTTAGCTCCTCCACTGTGATGATGGAGCGTTTAACTGGCTTCTCCTCGGCCGACTCAATCTCTAAGGACTCTTGCTGAGGAAGGGTCTTGCCACGTCTGTTGAAATGGTCAGCCTAGGGATCCAAGTCACAGACAAGGAGAAATTATAGCACAGAGGCAAGGGAAGAGCTGGTTAGTGCAATTCCTGACAATGTCTTCCACAAAATAGCGCAGTGGAGGTCTATGTCAGCTAGTGGTTAACGACAATTCTTAACACATTCACACTAGAGTAACATCCGCCCTCTTTATTATCTCTATTTGGAGGGAAGAGTGTTTGAAGCAAGAAATTACAACCCTCTCTTAGTAGATGAGGAAACTACTTAGTCTATAAGAAAATATTTTCTTTTTATTAATTATATTTGATATTGCCTCTGAAGAAATTTCCTTCTGTATTTAGTGCTTAAACGTATCTAATGAGGGAAATAAAATGATTCCAATTTTTAATTATTTTGAAAGGGCTAGAAGAAAGGAAATTGCTAACAAAATTTTAATCACTGCTACTTTCATTGTTTTCATATAGTGAATACCATACTGGATATGATTTATTAATTTTCAGTGTTATGCTTTAGGTAAACCTACTAAATATATAACTTGTAAATGGTAAGAGGCAGAAGAAGCTGAGCTGAAATTAATAGGCTCTAGTGCTGAGCTGATCCATCACCAGGAACTTTGCTTTAATTCTTTTGAAATGATGAGAACCAGTTGACAATTCCATGAAATCTTTCGGAACACTTTAAAATTAAGTTGGAGAAAACATCAAAGTCTTCCAAACATCATTGAAAATGAAGTTTTGTTTTGAAGATACTATTTCTTTCATATAGCAGTTAAGCTGTCTTCTCACAATCTAAATCAGAAGTATTAATATTAAAATGAAGCTCAAAGTACATTCATACAATTCCTTTTTAACAATAAAGAGAAAATGTCAATAATTTCTGACAGTTATCTAACATCTTCAAAGAAAGGCACAGGCAAAAAGTGAAAAATTCAAACTTTCAGTGTGGTTTTCACTTCCAGAGTCACTTTGAGACAATATCCAGTATTGTACTACCAAGCGAACATTTTGAAGCAGTCCCTGGAGCTGTGGGTTGTCAATAAGCTATTTCTAAAAATAATACCCTACTGTCTTTATCTGTGGTTATTTAAAAAAGAAAAATCTGAATTGGGAGCCCTAAACAATAACGTGGAGTCCTTGAGTGGTGCAAGCACCTTGGCTGCTAATTGAGTCTACCCAGAGGTGGCTTGGAAGAAAGGCCTCGTGATCTACTTCCAAAAAAATCAGACATTGAAAACCTTATGGAGCACAGTTCCACTCTGACACACATGGGGTCGCCATGAGTTGGATTCGACTTGATGGTGACTGGTTTAAACAATGACATGGTTCTTAAATGTGCCAGAAACTAAACACTAGCGTTTATCAAACTCTGCGGTGCCCTGGTGGCATAGTAGTTAAAGAGCTCGGCTGCTAACCAAAAAGTCAGCAGTTCGAATCTACCAGCCCCTTGGAAACCCTACGGGGCAGTTCTACTCTGTCCTATAGGGTCACTATGAATCAGAACCGACTCAACAGCAATGGGTATGGTAGTGATAAATTAGTTTTTTGTATTTCTAATTGTCACAAACCAATATACTGGTAATATACAACAAAAATGGAAAAACAAACAGAAAAATAACGTGTTTGGATACTGCAGCCATGCCAAATTGCTCTGAAAGTTTCTCAATGCTTTCTCTCATTTTCTGAATTTACCTTGCCAAGAACTGGTAACCATCTCTTAGTGTACCCACTCTCGTCCATAGATCATACTTGAGTAGCACTGTTAGAGATGTCTATTTTACCTTTTCAGATTCTAGATGATAATCTTATACATTTTGCTCCAATAAATTTTTTAGAATACAACAATTTTTAGAATAAATTTTTTAGAACTCCACCCTATGACATATTGGAGTTATGACAATCTGCACTTATAAACATCTTTTTCATTTTTGTACATCTTATCATTAGTAATATGTACTGTACACAGTGTTGCAGTGCATGAGTCGCTGATGTTATTCCCAAATGTTCAAAGATCAAATTTATAAAGATACTGATAATAAAAGGCAATAATAATGAAACTAAAAAAAAAGAGGTATTCGATTTATGATGGAGTCGTAGAACAGAAACCTGTCGTAAGTTGGGGACTACCTGTACTCATTTTTCCTGCCTCACGTAGAATAAGATGCTGCTACTCCTTTCATTCTCACGTTCTCTAGTCATCCAAGTGCCTGGATAGTGCAAATGGTTAGGCATTCAACTACTAACCAAAAGGTTGGTGGTTCAAACCTATCCAGAGGCTCTCAAGAAAGGTCTGGTAATCTACTTCCAAAAGGTCACAGTCTTGAAAACCCAACGGAGCATGGTTCTACTCTGTACACATGGGGTCACCATGGTCAGAATCAACTCAATGGCAGCTGTTTTTTTTTTAGTGTCATCCAACAATTCAATAACATAAAACTGGGTACCTCCAGCCTACACAGTTAATCTGTAATTCTTTCTCTGAAGAAACAACGCTGCCATAACGTGCTTTAGAGATTTCTACTGCATAATTTTGCCAGTGTTTTTGAGACACAAGAAACAACTAGTTATAAAACCTTCATCTGTGCCTCAGAGGACTTCCTGAAGATCAAGAAACAAATTCCTGATATATTTTCATATGCACTGATGTTGAAAGTAAGATCCCTTACCTTTTAGAACCAGTCTCTAGATGAAGGAAGTTAATTTTTACCTTGGTTATATTCCTAGAGGGCTGTTGGGCAGTTGGCCACCATTAGTCACCAGAATGTGTCCATTGTACTCTTGTACTTGATTTGGACTCCAAGTGTTTAATTCTCCCCCATGTTTTCAAAAATAGCCCATTTTCAAATAATCATATCAGGGAGCAACAAAATGAGCACAAATAAAGAATCTAACACTTCAGCCTCAACATTACCATCTTCTTCCAAAGCTTTTTACCTGCATTATAAATGGACAACATCTGGATACCATCAGTTCTGCTTCCCCCCGCCATTCCCTCTGGAGAAATTCTAACATACTTTAGAATGGCTAGTAGCATGCTAGGAGAGAAAGGAGGAAAAGTAGGAAAGCAATGTAGAAAAGAAGCCACAGTCCTACACTGGAGGCTGACTTGCATTGCAGCAGAAGAGAGATAAGAGGTCCCATTAAAGATCTTCAAAAACTCACCAGTTTATGATGACAATGTGAGAGTGCATCCAGGATTTCATCCACGATTCGGTCAGACAGGAAGGAGGCCACCATCAACTTCACCTCACTAGGTGAAAAGCAAAAGGACAGAGTAATATTTTAATCTGTGCAAGGGAAGAATAATCACCTACCTTTAGTGCTATGTTGATAAGGTCAACTGGGATTGCATTTCTGTCTTTGCAAATGGAATATAAGAATATGTGAACAGGGCTAAAGAGTTCCAAAAATAAGCCTTAAAACATTGTCATAAACACACAGGTAAAAGACATCCCTTACCAATTTCAACCTGCCCCTGCAAATTTCAAAACTCAAGACTAAAGACAAGCTTAATGGGAACCATATATACCATGTGGCACAATTCATCCACTGACATAAATGAAAACAAACTTGGGGTGGAGTAAATTAAGAAAGTCTAGTCTGATTGTTAAGCCCTGGTTATTACTTTAATATGCACCTCCACCCTTTTTTTTTTTTTTCCTAATTTTTTCACCAATCAAATGATACCATTGGAATCAATGCTTCTGCTGTGACTTACCTACTTCGAGTAGTTGTAAATTCACTGTACTCTTGCCTTGTATGAACAGAAGTTACTAAAACTTTTAGTTTTGGCGCCTCTTGCCTGACATCAAACAGGTGCCTAGTCAACACAGAGTGGCTTGTAGTTTTTATTAATAAACAGACTCTGCCACTAAGGTGTCTGTCAGATGGCTGATATTTTAGTTGGAATTTTAGCAATTTGGGTTCCCAAGAATTAAACTTCCATGTGTGTTTTCAGTCTGAACAGTCCTATCAGATAAATTTAAAGATAAATGTGCTAAGGAGATATCTATCCACTCTCCAACACTCTTCCATAAGCTCAGCCTGCTTTTGAAGTTAAGCATTTTTAAGTTTTTAGAGCAGGGAAAGGACTTATCAAAATAAAATTATTTACTCCTAAAGCTAAAGTTGAAAGCATTATTTGTGTAATAGGGAAAAACCTTTCTAACCTAAAGGCAATAATTTGCATGGAGATTCTCTGCCCAGGGAAGCTTCCGACAGCAGGGTGAAAGGAAGAACGGAAATCACTAACTCTTTGATGCTTACAGTAAAAATTTTCCTGGGCTAAAGATGAAAGTAAAAGGACATTTCTTTAATTCCTATCTCTGAAACAAGGTTTTGACAGCTATTTGATTTATCTAATACTTTATTATTCCCCAGAGGTGTCCACTGATAAGATTTACCTGCTCTCTTATTAAAACACAGATTCTTGGGTCCCATCCCAACCCTCCAGAGGAGGGGACTGGGAATCTTATTTTAACAAGTCCTTCCTCTGATTCTTTTCAGGCATCTTTGGGAAATTTCACTTCCTCATAAAACACATGGAGTCAGTAGTTTGTTTCTCTCTCCTTCTCTATTTTTCTCTGGAGGTGGTGAGGGGTAGTTTATCTATTTCAGAATGCAGCACCAAAAAAAGAAACATTCTGTTAAAAATGGAACTATATATGGATGATTAAGGATTATTCTATCATTTTGCAATTGGATGCTACACCTCCTTACTGACTGAGTTTCTACATAGCAAAATTTTTAGAGGAAACAGGTTAACTTAACCTCCATGTGCATACACACATACAAATGTGTACATGCACATGTAGGGGTGCATATTTTCATTCTATCAGTGCTCAGTATACTGCATTATAAAAAGCCAAGGAAGAAGTCAATGAACATTAGATGATTGATCTGGTGATGAGAGGAGTTTTTATGCTATTGTTCAACTTTCAAAATTTGGTCATTTTCAAGAGAAGTGGTCATATTTGACAGAATTTGGTTCTCTAGTAAAGGCATCAAAGTATGATCTGTTGGTGGTTCAGTGCATCATTATGAAAGAATAGTGGCCCATATGGATTTTTCTTTTGAATATTTAAGAGGCTTCAATGAAAAACTCTGAAGCTCCAGATTATAGAAACACATAAGCATACCTAGCAAGGGCAAGAGTTCATAAAATCACTACTATATAGGGGTCCCATAAACCCTCTGAAAGTCTTTTGTTATTTCTCAAGTCCTTCTAACTGCCCTGAATTCAGCTGAGCAGGTTCGAGGGGTTTTTATAAGAAGGTGACAGCTGTGCCAGCACAACTGGACGAAACCAAAGCTAGGAAGATTCCTGAATACAATCAAACACTTTGAGGGACAGAGTAGCAGGGGTAGGAGTCTGGGGACCACGCTTTCAGGGGACATCTAGGTCAACTGGCATAACAAAGCTTATTAAGAAAATGTTCTGCATCCTACTTTGGTGAGTGGCATCTGGGGTCTTAAAACCTTGCAAGCGGCCATCTA